GAAGCACGTCACGAGGTTTTTCTCTTAATCCCTACTCCAGTACTATTGCTCATTCTACCACTACCTCCCAAGCTCTTACACCCTCTCCTACACCTACCTACCCTCCATCTAACTCCCCCTCTTCTACCTCCTACCTTCCCCAGTCAAACTCTTTTGCCATCCTAAATCGAGACACTCCAATCTCTACTACAGACACTCCAATCTCCACTACAACCCCAACACCTTCCCCCCTCTCTCCCCGCACTACCCGCAACAGACAGAACAAACGTTCCACCCCCTCTTCCCCTACCACACAATCACCTCCACCTTCCTTTGCCCCTACTCTTGAGACACCAGTCTTCCCCCCCCCCCCCACACACAAGAAATCCTTTATCTCACAAAACTCCCCAACCAACTCCATTGAAGAAACTCTTGAAAATATTCAAGACTTCTTAATGAAAACTGACACTCGTCCACCTTCAAATCCCACAACTCCTGCTCTCTCCACACACCAAGTGACTGCCGATATCCATCCTCCTCCTAACGATATCCCCCCTACACCCTATCCTCCTGCCCCCTCCCAACACAGCCCATCGCCCCCGACTTCAGCCCCGCCCGCATTAACCCTCCCCTCTATCCCTTCAACTCCCTCCTGGATACACACGTGAATCCCTTATATCACAAGTATCCCCTTCCACACCCGTCTAACACACTCCTATCTAATGTCACAATCCGATCCACCCCTATGCTCCTTATGTAATGTTCCTCTTTCAGTCCCACACATTCTATTGTCATGCACACGTTTTGAAGCAGCCTGTACCTCTGCTTCCCCCCACCTATCTTCCCTTCACCGACCTCCTAACCTATTCTGCTTCGACAACCTGCTTTCCTCTCAAACGCATAAATACCTGTCACTTACTCTAACCCCTTTACATTACCTCACCCGACTTTAACCCATTCATTCACCAATTCCTTTGCCCAGCTTTGACAACTAATCACTAACTTAACCACCCTTTACTAACATTTACGATAGTGCCACATGACCTTAGATGTCTGGCACATTTATTTTTGCTTTTAACCATTAACCATTTATTAACAGTGAATGGGAATAGATAGGTTAGTTTATAAGTGTAATTAAATAATCAAATGCTTTCTAAGATTGATAGCTCAGCGGAAGTGTGTAGACAGTGACGAGTCCTGTTATTTTCCGACGGAGCGTAAGATTGATTTTTTGTCTATCAAGTATTTGCTTTTGTCATGATTATTACTTTTACTTGCTTTATGTTTGATTCATATATTCACATAGAAATACAACTTAATTTGTGTTTGTTATAATTAACTATTTGTTTTTCTTATGATAATTTTACTCTTAGTATAATATCAAATTCACTGATCGTGTTTACAATAACTATTTGCTTGTCAAATGTTCATGATTATTTTGTGTAATATCTAATCCATCTATTAGCCTTGAGACATGGAATAGTTAATTAATTTTGTTTTTTAATATTTAATTCATGAAGATATAACGTAATTTTGAATATTGTTGGTTCTGTTTTCATCAAGTTTCATGACTGATAATTATACAACAGTGAGTCATAACTCTCTTTTTGTATTTAAAGAGTTCAGAATTCAAATATAATCTTTCTTTTTGTTTCACGTAAAGTTTGATATTGTAATTTTATTATATTGCATTGCTAATATTCAGTTAAAAAATGTATTGATTTCTTTAACAAAGATTTAACTCAAACCTTGAATTGCACTAAATGATAATATGAACATTGTAACTTTGAAATTATTGATTAATTATTTAAAGTTACACTATAATTAATGAGTACATTTAAACATTTATTGATCTAACAAAATAAGTCCTGGAATATATATATATATATATATATATATATATATATATATATATATATATATATATATACATATAGATAGATAGATAGATAGATAGATAGATAGATATACATATATATACATATATATATACATATATATATATATATATATATATATATATATATATATATATATATATATATATATACACATATATATATATATATATATATATATATATATATATATATATATATATACATACATATATATGTATATATATGAAACATATATATACAAATATATTAAATGTATAGATAGATAAGAGAGATTGAGAGAGAGTCAGAGAGAGAGATGTAGATGTAGGTACAGACATATATGTGTATTCGCTGCAATGTGGTTGTTGAATACCCTCCATTGCTCTCGACCGCCGAGGCTGCAATGGCCCCATCAGGATTTTATGAAGTTGAGGGTGAATGCCATATATCATTCTGTTACAAAACGTTTCACTCGACATTTTAATTTTTCTCCCAATTCGGAGCATAACTGTACTAGCAAACATATTCTATATTATTCACTCTGCATGTGATTATGTCAGTGACATTTAAACCATTCTTCTGTAAGTTTATTTTTATATACTAAGTACAGTACACAGTTTCATCTGTTAACAAACCAATGC